AAACTGATCCTCCTCTTCCCAAGGTGTATACGTACATCCACAGACCTACACAAAAGTACATACATACAGATACACAAACGTTCACACAAACGCACATATTATGTCAAGCTGCTACCTTTTTGGCCTAGGTCATTTTTTACACTTCGGAGATAATTGAAAAACAAAAACCCGTTCTCAGAACGTGAAAAAATGCACTTTGATAGACCAACATTGCCAGTGCTAAGTAATTTACCGTCCCTCATTAGTACTAATAGTTTGGTTTTTTTAATACAAAATTATGGGATGCGACTAACATAGGTCATTTCATGACTGTGGCCTCTAACGTAGGTCATATTGGGACTAATGTCTCTGATTTAGGCTATTTGCAAAATGACTTGAGCCATTTTTTTTTCTTTTTTCAATTCTGAATGACTTGGAGCATTTTGAAAAGAATTTGACTGAAATGGACTGTTAGATCCAAGACTGAAGGTAGGAAACTTGCCCATGTTTTGACCTGAATCTGACTAAGGCTAGAATGAATGAGAGACGAGACTTAGGCCAAATTTCACGGGAAAATCAATACCACTTTTATTTTAGGCCAAATGCATTTTTAAGATATTCTTTGAAATGGTTAAGAGTGTATTTTTAATGTTACGTCACTCTTTTAAGCAGATGTAATGGAGTCCTGTGGTTTATCAATTGCAGTTTGGCTTAAGTCTGACTCAGGTCAAAAAGGTAGGAGCTTGACGAATGATATACATGTATTTTCCAAAGAATAAACAAGTCAGGACGCATGTTGTATTAAAAACAATATAAAAATGTAATATATTATTTCCCGAATGGTGAAATGTCTACCTTATCTTAAAGATATATAAATATCTTTTAAAGATAAGGAAGAGTAAGACACATGGTGGTTCATTTTCTTGAGATTCCTTTCCCAGTCGAAAAAGTAAAGTTGCACGCTTCGGATATCATCTCTCTATTCCCATCATACATTGTGTTGGGACTGGTCTCCGCTTGACGATAGCTGCTCAACAATCTTCAGAAGACAAAAGATCCTGCAAAGCAAAAGAGATACAGTTCGTATTTGCATTGTTATTTATTTTGTTAATCAAATCATTACGTTATTAAGTTATTTAGGTATTTCCTTTTTTGGTGGGTTTGGATAAATTCTTGATAATAAATCGCTAGCTCTTTACACCATTTCAATAATTAGGATTATTAGTTTCTAGGTTTACCATAGTTTATCTGATTAAGATACTGAGTATAATTTGATCCTAACTATTGAACAAAAAGACTGTTATGCTGCATTTAATTAATGAAGTACCCACATTTAACTTCATCGTCAGAATGTGGAAAGAAACCCGCAACTTTCTTATTGAAGTAGAATGTTCACGTCCCTTTTAAAAATCCGAAAATCAGGCAGCAATATGCATGCTAAAAAATATGCAAATTCGTCTTTCTGATCTTTGTGAGATGGTTCTAAATGTGCTGCAACCTTGCCTTTGGTTTGCTTCTTATCTCATAATTAATAGATGTAATATGTTCCGACAGGAAAATGTGCACAGTGTAGGTGCAATTGTAAAGCAGAATGGAACATTTTTTTCTCCATCTTCAATCATAATTTTGTTTTCTGAGGTTTAAACAGTTGGACATTGTGTCAACAATGAGGCTGACCTCTACATGCCGTTATTCCGTTTGTAGGCGATGACGGCTTGTTCCACTTCCTTCATGTGAGCCAGGTACTGCTTGGCGGAGCTGCACATCACCTTGACCAGGTCGTGAAGGACGTGTTTGGCCTGCTCTTTGTGGTCAATATGGGCGAACCAGGCAACGAACTCCTGCAGCAGGGAAAAGAAAATTGTGAGGTGATGTCTGGAACATAAATTTTTGTAATTTTCATTTTGCTTGTTTTATTTGCATCCCCAAAAGATACAATCTGGATCATCTACGAGTTTTTTTCCAGAGGTGGGGGGGGGGGGGGGGAACAGACAGCAGCAAGCATGTTGTTTGTGACCCAAGATAGACTTCCGTAATATTCTTGCGTGCAGTTTTATTTCTTTTATAATAATATAATATATTGCGTTTTCTGGTCATACCACGTACCCCTAAGCCTGCCCAAATTTTGTTCACGACATGCTTTCAATACTTGGTGATTTACATGAGACTGTGCAATTATTTTCAAATGTATAAAATGCGAATTTGATACCAGTGGAATTCAAAGCTGAAACGCCCCCATGGGGTTTTTGGTTATCTGAAGGTGTAGTTAACAAAATCAATACACCCAAGTATTGTTGAGAAAATGGCTTTTAAATTCAAGATATCTAAGGGAGAGTAAAGTATTTTTTAGTGGTCTGTTATTTTTATCCACTTATATTTCAATAATAATAATGATATACAGTATTTGAATGGCCCAAATTCCAATTCAACAGCAAGCTCTATGCGCTTTGCAGTATTTATTATACCCATGCAGACTTGATGGCATTCTGAAACAATCTCAATTTCCTGGGGAGCACATAATGCAAGCTAATCATGTATAAGCACCAAAAGACTAACATACTAACATGATCTTTTACTGTCTATGGCCGGGTAACATTTCACCTGAGTGAAGTGAGGAAAATTCTTGTAAAATGCCTTTCCCAAGGACACAACGTCTGGCCCTCGACTCGAACCCCTGAAACCGCAACCTAAAGATTACGAGTCCGGTAGCGTAATACTGGGTGCCCATTGTGGATCGGATCGGGTCTGGTCGGCTCTCCCGACTCCCCCGACTCGTTCCCTGAAAATGCGTTTGTTTTTTATGCGACGAGTCTGGTGCGATCGGCATGCACCACGATAGCCCTTCTGCACCGTCAATCTGGCTAGCAAACTGACCCGACCCGACTCGATTCCTAAATGTGCACTTCGTATAGCCAATAGACTACCGACGCCATTCGTATCTTACCTCCATTGAACTGGGGTCAGTCATGTTAGCGTCGTGCTGGCCGAAAGTCATGCCACCAGTAGAGTTGCCACTGAAGGAAACGTTGTTCATTTGTGGCATGTTGCCCATGCCGGCCATTTCTTCTCCGCCATAGCGACCCTCCTTGATCCTGTGAGAGGAAACAAAGCAAGCGTTGTGCTATTTTGTGGTAATAGTATAGTTCTTTTGTATTGTTGTTGCCTTGTCTTGTATGTTTTTTTTAAATTTGATATTCAGCTGTTGTGGTTTTACACAATGGTTATTTACATGGTAGTTGTTAGCTGTGGTGGTGTTTCTAGCGTGGTGGCTATTCTTTTTTTTCTTCTTTTTTTTCTTGTTCGTTTTTTTTTCCTTCTAATTGTGTGCTTTCACCATTGTATTTTATTTCGATGGTGTTGCTGTTCGTGGTGTTTCTAATGGTCGCAACATGTTCGCCTCATGTGATGTATCTGCACCATTTACTTTTTCTCCTTTTATATTATTGAAAGGTTACCTGGATGAGTCGTTTAACTAAGTAAAGGAAGTGAATGGTTTTTAACGCTCTTATCGACACCACGGGTTACTTAATAGGCAGGACGTTTAAATCAAACGTCCCTCTCCGAAATAACCAAGTCAAATGGGCTTATTGTCTTGAAAACTCCACTAAACTCCACAAAGCGTCCCTACTTCAAGAACTTCCAGTCTAGGATTCGAACAAGGGACAACCGCCCCGTAGTTCAGCATAATACCAATGAGCAAACGAAGCAGCCTGAGTCCTTGAAATAGACCGCAATGATCATAGCGTCGATTGGTGAACTCTGACTCCGGCAAAGGCGTGATTGTATTATATTATATAATGAAATTTTGATGCAATATATACATTTTGACAATTCTACATTTTGATTACATTGTAGTTGGAACGATACTAAATTCTCCCCTAAGAATAAAAAAAAGAATGTTTTCAGAGTACAGAAAAAACATAGGGAAGACAGAAATCGTGCATTACAGACATAACATAACATTCCCCCCCTTATCTTATTCCCATCCCACCCGATCTCTTCATCGACCTTTTTTCATCATGCTCCATCTTGTCATCCGTTTTCATCATCCCAAAACATCACTTTATTAGATTTTCTTTCTTTCTTTTCTTTTTTTTCATTCTCATCCAATACCTGCTTCATCTTTTCCCATACCATTTAGTCCCATCTCTTCTTTAATAGGTGTTTGGCGGGTGCTCTGGTGTGGTTCGTTCCTTCTTTCCTGTCAAACACATAATCCTCATCTTTCCTCCTTCTTTTTGTGTTTTTTTTTTCTTCCTGTAACACCTCTTATCTTCGGCACTTATATGACCTAATTGTTATGACATTGCCGTAAAACACTTATTAAGACAAACACGCTTTCTTACCTCATGAAAATGTCCTTGCTGCTGTCACACTGACAGAATTCCAAGAAATGGGCGGAGATGCCGAACATGAACTTCAATTTGCCCTCCATGAACTCCTGGGACATGCTGTGGGGATCAAGAAACGTGTTGCAACAAATAATTTAAACGTGTTTGGCGAACGCTAACGAGAATAAGCAGTTTTGAAATACAGAAGAGAAAATTCTAATGTAAAATTAAAGTCAGCGTTTCTTCCCAAAGTAATGTGATTACATTACCATTCTAAATTTATGTGGTTTCGTATAAAGGGTATATTTATAATTTATATATATTATATATTTATTTATAATATTTATCTGACACCCTCCTCCCCCCCCCCCTCCCTAAAGTACACGCGCGCGAAACATCATGTGAGGTACAAACTACAGTTTATCTCTGTACTAGCCCCGTTTTTGAAATTGTAATGGATACACCGAAACACAACATGTTGCAGGTAAGCATAAAACAAAACTATTAATGAGATAATATTGATATTCCACCAGAAAAAATGTATGGTAACTCCAACATTTCAAAGTTAACATAAAATAAAGCCATTAGTTGTATATAACCTGTAGAGTTTGTCGGTCAACATCTTCTTCATCTTAATCTTCTCCATCTGCTGGTACATTGCCATTTTGGCTTCCTTCTCCTGCATCTCCTTGAAGTGCTGTGAAAAAGAGAGATTTCAATTCTTATTGTGTTTCGGCCTTCGACGTACCTTATAATTATATAATACCAAGTTATTGAATACATAATTCAGTTCATGTGATGATGAATACAACGTTTTGTTTTGGCACCGGCATTGTGATATGAAGGTGCTGTATTCGATCCCCAGAAAGAATTTGGAGAATCTTCTTTCTACACGTATTGAAAGTAATCCGATACTGGATCTTCATAGTGATATTGCAGAAGTAGGTAACATCGAACATCGTTTATCTAGAATATTAATTTGGTCGTTAGAGGAGCTTGAAATAACTCCCTCCCTACACACTCACGCACACACACACACCCACACACACACACACACACACACACACACACACACACACACACACACACACACACACACACACACACACACACACACAAACACACACACACACACACACACACGAATATATTTTCACACATGCACCAAAGAAGAAGAAGAAGAAGAAGAAGAAGAAGAAGAAGAAGAAGAAGAAGAAGAAGAAGAAGAAGAAGAAGAAGAAGAAGAAGAAGAAGAAGAAGAAGAAGAAGAAGAAGAAGAAGAAGAAGAAGAAAAAGAAGAAGAAGAAGAAGAAGAAGAAGAAGAAGAAGAAGAAGAAGAAGAAGAAGAAGAAGAAGAAGGGAGAGAGAGGGAGAGAGAGAGAGAGAGGGGGGGGGGAGCGAGAGAGAGAGAGAGAGAGGGAGGGAGAGCGAGAGAGAGAGAGAGAGAGAGAGAGAGATAAAGAAAAAGAAAGAGAACAAAAATAATTATATAACAATCAATAACACGTAAAATTAATATTACTTTTTTAACAAAGAGGGAATAAAACCTAGAGAAGCAAAACAAAATAAAATGTATTGAAAAGAGAAACATATCCCAGGAAATAAATCTGTTCCAGTTCTCACCTTCATCTGCATGTACTCTTTGAACTTCATCATGGCGTTCTTCATGTACTCTTCGCGCTCCTCTTTCTCCTTGCTGTGCTCCTCCTGACCCTTCAGCCACTCCTTGAACTGTGCGTACATGTCCTCCTTCTGTCAACCGTGCAGGAAGAAGGATAGGGACCCACAGTTAGTCAGTCAGTGAGTCTATTCGTCAGCACATTTATTATAGTCTATTCTTTCTGTTTTTGTATTGCTTCCCTCTTGTCTTTCATTTGACAATTCTTTAAGGACCTAATACACCCATCCGTCCGTCCATCTATCAGTCCATCCATTCATCCGTCCATCCTTCCGCCCATCCTTCCGCCCATCCATTCATCCGCCCATCCATCCATCCATCCATTCATCCGCCCATCCATCCATCCATCCATCCATCCATCCATTCATCCATTCACCCGCCCATCCATCCATTCATTCATCCATCCATCCATCCATTGATCTAACCATTCATTCATCCAGCCATCAACGCACCCATTAAACGGTTGGTCAACCAAAACTTGCTCCTATTCTTCACAAACGTTGTCCTTGTCATAACTGATCAATCCATCACTTTCTTCATCAGCGCACAGTGATAACCCAACCACTATTCCATATGATTATTCATCGTCAAAATAATTTATGCCATTATTTGGGGAAAGTAACAAAGCAACTAACTAAAATACAACAACTAGTACATTTATTCTTCAATCAGTTAAAAGAATGTCTTCAAAATGACTTTCGATTTCATGCATTTGATGGCATTGATTGGCACTTCGTATACTCATTTAACTTTCTCAGTTAGCGGCTACGAGCTTGTTTGTTAATTTCCTTTTTTAAAAACGGTGTCTAGATTGACATAATACTGATGATATGTTCTGTAGGGTGTCCCCGTAGTTTGAACCAAATGTTACCAAACGAGAAAAAAAACAGACTATAAGGAACGATTATTGTCGTTTACATAATCACAATTTGCATTCCGTCTCTTATCCAAAAAAAGTTTTGACAGTTCATTTTGTTTAAATATTGTTCAATTTTTTTCTACTGTTTTTAATGATAGCTGCAAAATGACTTACCTCTCCTTCACCTCCTTCCTTCTTTTCGCCCGATGGTTTCTGTTCGCCCCATTGTTTCATCTTATCTTCCCATTCCTTCATATCACCCCATGGTTTCTTCTCACCCCATGGTTTCTGCTCGCCCCATTGTTTCATCTTATCTTCCCATTCCTTCATATCACCCCATTGTTGCTTCTCGCCCCATGGTTTCTTCTCGCCCCATTGTTTCATATTATCTTCCCATTCCTTCATATCACCCCATGGTTTCTTCTCGCCCCAATCCTTCTTTTCTTCCATACCACCCCATGCCTTGTCTTCTCCTTCGCCTCCCCACGCCTTGCCTTTGTCCCCCCATCCCTTCTCTTTCATTTCCTTCTCCATATCTTCCCACATTGCCATGAATTGTCCACCAAAGACTGCTGGAAGCACCAGCAAAAGGATAGCGACTTGCTTCATGGTTGGCGGCTGCGGAAAACAGGAGAGAACATAATTATTACATGCAAATGGGTTGAGTGATAACTGATAAAGTGTGTATTTTTTATCTTTAAAAAAAATGTATGTGTTTCAAGCCCCATTTATTAGGAGGTAAGCTTCCGTCCCTATCAGTTAGAAGACCAAAAGACTCGATGAAAAATTATCCCCACTCGGGAATTGAAATCGGGTCTCCTGCAGTTCTCCTCCATGAGACAGTAAAGCCTGTATTAGCTGAGTGATACTAATGGTCATACTTATTGGCCACAGGGTGACTGAGATGGCAGGGTCGTCTTCATACGCTTGGAAAAGGAAAGTTTGATTCCTATATTATATTCTTTACCATGTAACAGTGCATTTTATGGAGAACCTTGGTCCGTCTACTAGGAGAGACAGGGAAACAGTTGAAGCGGCGACCGCCTTGCAATGAGCTAAATTAGTTTGAAGAGGCCGTTTTGATTATGGCTCAGCTTTTAAATAGACCTCTTAAGTCTTTATATTTATTTTCTGCAATTTTCTTTTGTGGCCCTTGCAACACCTGTATCTAATCGTATCGTTTTGTCTCATGTCCTGATGAAAGACATTCAAAGGTAACATCGGCAGTCCAGTGGCTAGGCTACTGGACATGTGGTTGTGAAAGTGCAGGTTTGAGGGTTTGAGCCTCACCTCGGTCTGACGTTGTGTCCTAGGGGAATGCACTTTTCATAAATTTCTCATTTTGGCTCTGTCCTTTCCGAGATGGACATTCAACTCGTTCAGCCTATACCGCTTGACATTTCATATTATGTTTAGTGTTATAGTAAAGTTTAAGTTAAGGTGAACCTAATAGTCTTCCATCCCTTCAGCTGCCAGGCCAAGGCCTCTCTCAAGTACTCAATCGGAGGTGTTGGACTGATAAAGAACATATTAAGAAAATGTAGTATAAATACGTGACTACGTCATTGAGAGAGAATAGAAATAATATGATCTGTGGCAGCGTGGTGGAGTCAGGCGCTTATTAATTTTTTTTAATCGAAGAAATCTACGTTTCCTCCCATTAAGCAGAATTTTATTAAAGTTTTGTTTGTTTGTTTTTTGTCAAGGGGCTCAGCATTTTTAGTTCTGTCTCAAACCACAGCGTGGACTTTTACTGCAAAGCGCTAATCATAGGCTCAAAACAAGTACATGTATTGCAATCCTTGGATGCCACAATTTAGGAAGGCACTAAACGTTAACGGCTGTTATCTAGCTATGTTTACCTCTGATACTGCGTTACCTCAGAATTACAAACATTTATCTGACATTTTTGGCCGTTTGAGTAACTTGTACCATGAACGCAAATCCAATGATCTACCATCTGCTCTGTCAAAATCGTAACAATAAAATTCCGAGTGGTTATTAATAAGCTGTTCAAAGAATATCATTTTTTTAAAAGCTTGATTGTAAACCTGAAACATTTTTACGTTAAATTTCTCAAAAACTAGGTAGTCTGCACATAGAAATTTCTCATTCTGGGGTAGCGACTAGGAGACCACCATTTTCTTTGATGTTAATAGTTCAAGATACATGGGTATTTGTTCATCAAAAGCAAAGACAAATGAAGAAGCTTCTAGGTGATACCAAAAAAACCATTTGCCCCAAAATTGACGAGATTCTGATCCTACGGCGTCGTGACACACAATAATTATTGTTAGTGTGACTTCGATGTGGCAATTTTGGTACATTTTTCCTAATTTCAACCTCGATGGAATTTGCAATTAGATCTTTTTTTAAATGATGTTTTCAAAATGTATTGTTTGGGTTTTGATTTGAGTACGGAGAAGTAAATTGACACATAACGGTCACACTATGGGGCTGGAAAGAAACAAAACTCTTTAAAAAAACCCAGAAGGAAAGTGAAGAAGAAGGACCTACCAGTAAGACCTTTCAATCTCCCACAAAGTGGTATTAATAACATGTTATATATCTTTAGAACATTGTATCTTTGCATTTTATTTTTGGGAGTGCTAATGATGACACAACGTGGCAAGCAACATACTACAGAGATAGTGCGACCTACACTTTATTACAGTACCAGTGCAGTGGTACTACACACATAGTGGTACCTAAACTTCATTACAGTCCCGTTGCAGTGTTCTAGCCCCCGCGCCCCGCACTCTGCGACAATTTCACGCACTGTTCATCTGTTATATTATATGACGTTACTTGAGAAAATTGCCTGATTTAAATCGTCACAGCCTTGCGACGAAAGGATTTTTTTTTTCGTAATAGTGTTCCCACAGAGCTTAATGCCAACCATTATAATAAATGTTAGTGACTGCTTGGAGTTATATGAAAACATAACCTGTGTTAACTTGTGACCACAAAGACATTACATTGTTAAATAAAAACAGGTTTTTTTCCTTTTTCGTTTGTGGAAAAAAAGGGGGAGGGGGTCACATTGTAAAGGATAATCACGATCTGAAACTAAGTAGTTTTGGAAAAGAGAAAAACAAATCATAGAAAGATGTTGGAGGAAGTTGGATGGGTAGGGGAGTCTTTTTATTCAGTTAGTGGCGTAGGCAGGATGAGGAAGGGGAAAAAAGAGGGGGACGGAGACAGGGTATGAGTTACTTGATGCCATTGTTTGCAGCAATCAAGATATCTACTTTGCCAACCACGATCGTTTACGCTCCCTGTGAAAGCAATGACATCATTCTTTCCACTCTGATGACAGACATTTGGTGGTTTCAATAGAAGGTTCGTGTGCGGAGGTAATTGGTGAGAGCTCTGTAGCTGCGCGCTGCACACAGAGAGGACAAACATACCCTTATTTGCTCGGAGCTTCCCCGCTAACCCACATATCTACACAGCCCGAGGAATTCACTCGGAGCATGGGTCCATCCGACCATCGGCGTCACATTTTCCTCCACCCCACACGCCCTATCATTGCCTGGCTATCCTCACCTATAATTTTCCGTCGCCGTTGCTCTGTGGCCCTTGGTGTGTACTTTTTACCTGACGATGTCGCATCTATTACTGAGTGTCTTGGGTTTCTAAAATGTCAAATTTAAGTGAGTTTTTTTTTACTTTCGTATTCTTTCTGTGGGAGGCTTTCACATCTTTAGAACAACTCTCATTCCAGGCAATTATCTTTTATTACCACTGTTTTTCTTTCAGGATACATACAGTGTTATTCACAGTTAAGCGCATGCTACTATCATTAAAATAAATCCACCGTTGTTTATCTTAGTTACAGCCTTCCCCCCCCCCTACCTCGTTCAAATAAAAAGAGAAATCTAAAAAATTAAGTAACGAACAGTAGACAACAGAAAGGAGAAAAATTCTTTTGAAAAAAATTAACAATTAAGCTTTTCCGATACCTACAACACCTCCACTGTTTCCACTTTTCGATATTTCAATTACTTTTGCAAAACACTTAAAGTTGATGACGTTATTAGTGATAACCTTTTTTCTACGACTCCTGCTAGTAAAAAGCGACTAGTATAGTAGTAGTCGTGAGACTGCGGAATCTTGGGTTCGAGGCACAGCTTAGTTCGACGTTTCGACCTATCGGAGATGTACACTACATTCGGAGGTGCCACCACATAAACAAGCTTATATTGTTACAGGGGACGTTAATTCTATACAGTTATGAGCTAAAGTTTGAGGCTGAGTTTACCATAAGTGGGGATAGTTTGAAATGCATATCAATAAACTTCTATTCCTTCTTTTTTAATAAAGGATTTGAAGTTTGCAAAGGAAGTGATATCATACTCAAAAAAAAATAAAAAAAAAAATAATGCCAATCTTTATTTCTAGGTGATGGTCAAATTACATAATACATGAGAAGTGAACACGTGTTGAAAAGGTAACATTGCTGTTTAGACATAAGGTATCAAAACATGAAACTTGTTTACTCTTTAAAATCAAAGTGTTTATAACATTCAACTTGGTCTTATCGTATCTACAATAGAGTGCCCAGCAGTACACTGCGACGTAGCAGTAACCTCCCTATACCCTTTTCCAAGAGGAATGACATAGTAAACCATACGTAAAAATATAAGTCTTGGTATTAAGACTTAACAACCCCTATCAACACTTTTATTTAGTTAAGAGGCAGCACTTCTGAATTCAACCTCTGTCCCCGATGGGACCAGGTCATTTGACCTGATAACTTTAAAAACTCTACCAAACAACCTGATTTTAGGACCACATAGTCTGGGATTCAAACCTTTGTAGTCCGGCATGATACCAACTGAGCTAACGGAGAACCCTATTGCAAACTATGATATAGAAACACATGGCCATGCACAGTCCATTCAGTGTAACCAGCTGCCTGAATGATTTTAAATGTGTCGATGTTAACGTAAAATCCATGCAACCATTCACACACACAAAAGTTGAGATGTTAGTAGAGTACGTCGAAAACGGACCACAAGTGACGCTGTCCAACTTAAACGCAATCTGTGCTCGCAGTAAAGATCCTTTGTGTCGAAATAAAAAAAAAAATAACTATGCAACTCAAATCATAGTGAAAAGAGATGGGAAAACTAATAAATTGTCGTTAATTAATCATTATTTTAAAACACACCAAAAACAGTCACTGCCTGAGGGTACGCAACAACAACAAAATGTCTCAACAACATTTCGAAAAAAAACAACCAAAAAAGAAAAATCAGTTACCTGTTGGGCAGAACCAATTTCTATGTGAAAAAGGAGAACAGAGAAGTTTGAGCCGGGCTGGCCAAATATGAATGCGTCTCATCTTGCTGACTGTTTTATATATCTTGTCACACCGGCCCACGTGACCAGCCAGTCGCCACGCCCATTTCTGACGGATTGAGTTTATGAGATTTTAGATGTAATAGATATACAGAGAGGGGAGGGGGTAGAGATAGATTGAGAGAGAGAGAGGAGGGGGAAAGGGGTGGGCAGAGACAGTGGAGAAAGTAAGAGACAGACAGAGAGAAATGGGTGAGAGATAGAGAGAGAGGGTGGGGAGTGAAAGAGAGAGAGAGAGTGAGGTAGAGATTCCGAGAGAGAGAGAGAAAGAGAGAAAGAGAGGGAGGGAGAGAGAGAGAGGGGAGGGGGGCGAGGAAATGGGGGAGTGGGGCGGGGGAGTGAGCAAGAAAGAAGCAAAGAAAGTGGTGGGTGGTGGGGGAGATCGAACGAGAAGTTTCAGTGCGCATTTCAGACGTTTAGTTATTTCTTCGATGGAACGATTGCGAAAGGGGGACAGGGTTCAATCCGTAGGCCAAGCTTTATGTTGGTAGGCCTAGTTTGTATTTGCATGTATTCAAATGTCATTCAGTCGAGTTTTATTGAATTAGGAATTTCTTTCTTTACTCAGTCCTGGGTTTACGCGTGATTTCCACGTCTGAGGTCGAAAACACCCTCAAATGGAGAGCACATAAGGGCCTCTGGAGTGAACCACAGAGAATCTGAGGTCTCTGAATAGCATTGAATTTTTTTTCCGTTGTAAGCGTCTTTCTTCTTTACCTTTCTTTTTGCTCAATTTTTCTTACATATATTATTTTCCCTCTTTACAAGTACACACTGTAACGTGTTTATATAATGAAAAACGTGTCTGCCGCGACATGACGGCTAAAAATAATCTCAAGTATCGTCCTGCATATTCACCCAATGGCATGCAAAAACGACACAAATTCCTTTTTAAATTTTAATTTAAAATGTCCATGCATTTCTCGACTCAACAATGATTAGCAGAGAGTAGAAAGTGTTAGGACATTTCGAGGATTCTTTTTTTTGGGGGGGGGGGGGGAGGAGAGAGATCGGGTTTGTTTGTTTTTGCTTTTCAAATCTTGTGACATGTTCATCTTTTACTGAGGAATTATACTGGAGTGAGTTCTTGACCCCTTTTATTTGCTTTTTAAAATATTTATCACATCTTACTATTACATTGCCTACCCGTCAACACAGTTTTGGAGAGAAAAATTATGGAGCTTAGTTACAGATCTACTACAAAATACAAGCACGGAGAAGGCCTAAGAATTGGATTCTATTCATTAAAAATTACCACTCCTGAGTTAGGAAGTTATTAATCAGTAAACCCTCCGCCCCCCCCCCCCCTCCCTCACTATGTCTGCTGGAACATTGCATTTTTCTCAGCCCTTTTTGGCTCAAGCAGACAGCCTCGAAGAAGCCTGCTTTTTAAATTATATATTATATTATTGTTATTTCGATTGGGGGCGTAGCACATCTGCAACTATAACAAGGTTACAACACTTCTACTATTTGTCTATTACAGCAAATGCAGCAAACCTGCACTTATCACAACAAGGCATGGGACAAGAGGGCGAGGATCCAGCTGTTGCTGGAGCGATAACAACAGCAACAATAACAACAACAACAACAACAACAACAACAACAACAACCACAACAATAGCAACAACAATAGCAACAACAACAGCAACAACTCGTTTCTCAAAACTTATATTTCTTTAGATTATTTATTTTAGTCATGGAACTGATCTGTGAGGAAAGTTCTCTAAAGTGTTGGGGCGTAAAATGGACTCTGTAGCTGTCTGGTACGTGTACTTCTCTTCAACTACTCGCTACCTGAAAAATACAAAACGTCACGAGGTCAGAAACAAAATGCTGTGTCTGCTCAATCAAAATCGTAAGATTATTCGAAGTCGTTATCAATGTATTCAAAGAAGTGCATTTGAAAAAGCTTTAAATGTTGTAAAACTCGAAATTTATAATAAGTCAAATTTCTGAACACTAGGTATTTATCAGACAGAACTTTGTAATTCTGAGGTACCGCAGCGTGCTGTCGGACTTGTTCTAACAACCACGCGTATGAAACATCCACCAGTACAAATGGTTGCCTGCCCTTTGTTTCCTAGCATATTTATCTATTAAGGGGGGGGGGGGGGGAGGGCTACACCTGGAGGCTATCTCGCCTATTACTTGACCAAATTTTACCAAATTTCACACATATAACAAGCATAGTATGGAGTCTTAAAATCCGCTATCAAATTTGAGAAAAAAGTTTTGTTTCCATGGATACGCCGCCATATTGGATTTTATTGACATGACTTACGTAATGAAAACCGCACTTATCGCTCATGGAAATTGATTGTTTTTTTGTATGCGTGTTCACAAACATTAGATCTAAAGATTAGTCTGTTGTTTTTTTCCTAATCGAATTAGAAAATTTTTAATGAATTTTTTCCTGAGGTAGCATTCAAGTTTGCGAAATTCCACTCCAGACACCACCAACAAAAATCTATTCCATATATCAAAAATTCAACAGACATATTTTTAGTATTACCTCTTCCCTTCATTCTGTGAAAATGTCATGAAGATTGGATGAAAATGAGTTATTCAAAAAAGTATAGAGAAAAGTAGCATTTTGAGAAAACGGCCGGTAAAGAAAAAGAAAATACTGACTTTTTCAGGAAATGGCGGTTACAAACATGCCCGGTATGGGAGAAAATACGGTTTTGGGGGGTTCTTATGCCATGAAATAGTTGTAGGAGAGGCTGAGGAGGCTAAAAATGCCTACAACTCAAATTCCATGATTTTGAACCGAATTTTGATTTTGGGGGTGTAGCCCTCCCCCCCCCCCCTTAAATATTATGTTTAATGACATGATATGTATAATGACATTGTCAAAGACAGCCACAAAGATGAAATGACAGTGTGTAGCAGTCTTAGTCAATTTCGACTGTATAACAGTTTCATCGCATGGTTCTATATTATAAGTTACACACAGCTAGAATTCTTATTAGCTCTGGGTTTTTACGGCTGAAACAAGGCCATCCTAAGCACGAGCATCACTGCTGCTGCTTAGTCATCGCCGTAGGATCCACTTAATAATCAAAGCGTTGATTTATTTGCCACGGTGTTATCTTCTTTCTCCTCGTCGGCGTCCTGCACCACCCACACACCTTTTCCCAGGCACTTGTCAGGCACATCTACAGTGTCAGCGCCTACTGCTGGAGTTTTATTATAAAAGCCAGTATAATAATGTCCATTTTTTGACGGAATTGAGTTGTCGATGCCATCTGATAATTCAAAACGTGGTACACATGTTTGCCTTGGTCTTGTATCGATATCTTGATGAATAAGACATGGAAAGTGTTTTGAGGATATTCAAAGCAACTGACTGTTGAAGAGCAACAATGTGTTCTTTTTTGCTCTCCTGGACGAAAAAGGATATACTTGTACTATCTTTTAAATTAAAACTCTAGTCATTTTTTTGTCTTGGCTATGGGGTCCGCAGGAATGTCTGACCTCTTTACCTAAAAAGGCCACTCTTCAGCCGTTCGTGTCAAGCTGGATTTGAAAGGGGATTTCTATGTGATTTTATTTCTCAAACTTAAAAAGAGGAGAAACAGACGCACATGCAGGGATACCAAGGGTACGACAATGATTGTCAAGTTCATTTGTGTCACGACACGGTCGAACCAGGCGCTTGTCAAAATTTGAGTACAAGCTTAAAGGGAGTTATTAGAAAAATTAAAACCTGAGCATATGCCCTGTTTGTGATGAAGAAATGATACATGTCTATCTTGAAAAGAAGTCTAGTGATTTGCAGTTAAAAGAGGTTGGGGTCGCTCTTCGTCATATGTAAATTCAGAGGGAAAATGAACGCCAAAAGTTGGTGATTTCCAAAGCTTGGGTGTCCTTGGAAACTGCAAACTTACATGTGTGGCTTTAATCAAGGTTTCCAGTAAAATCTATACAAAAATGTATTTTTAATAGACATAAGAGGTGTTGAGCTTAAAGTAAAATAATCGATGAAAATTGCTAGACTGTCTTTTTCTTTCTATTTCATTACTTTCACCAGTATTGATTTCACCAGGTCACACATCTTATGTGATAAATCCCTTGTTTAAAAATGCAAAGAGAATACTCCATCACAAAAGATTGACTATTACGTGTCTCCTTTTGTAAGCACAATTATTTTCTGTCTACGATGATGACGTAATAACATGGAGTGTTGAACTGTGTACACATCCAGTTTGCTTTTATAGACATACCAGTTCCCATAGGAAATCATGTATTAATATGATGCTTGTCAGATACAGATTATGTTCTTTTCCTTGAATTTTGAGGGTGTGATAATGATGTATCAGTCATATGGATTGACAAAAGAGAGGACTTAAAAGACAACTTCGAGCAATATTTATAGATCATTCAAAGTGCTCAGACAGTTTTCTTTCTTTCTTTCTTTTCTTTCTTCCTTCCTTCTTTCCTTTCTTTTTTTCTTCCTTTCTTTCTTTCTTTCTTTCTTTCTTTCTTTCTTTCTTTCTGTGAGTTTTTTTTTTACTTTCCTTCTCTCTGTCTTTGTTTGTTTCTTTCTTTCAAAACGTTGTGCGTCCACTCGAAGATTTAACCCTCCAACAACAACCTCCACACTGTTTATCAGTTGCTGTTTGCTGCTCTACGTGTCTAGATTGTACCCGTTTTCTCGTTGATGTCACCACACCACCTTTATTCTGGTAATCATTTTATTCTTTTTCTTATCATTGGTCTGTATCCAGTTCATCCTTTAGTCCAAATGTTGTCATTACATCTGGGGATTTGGCTAGCCTATTTCTTTTTTTTCTGTCTGAGTAAATATTTGCGACAAATCCCGTTTCAATCCTTTTTTGTATGCTTGTGCAGTTTATTAAAAGTGAATCTTGTGTTCTTAGGATCAGCATCGTATTTCAAAGGCCCAACATCGGACAGTATAATGCCCGATACAATAATATTAAGACATTTTTACGTATACTAAAAACTCTCAAGTACCGTA